AAAGGCAGCAGCAACATCCCAAAATAAAAGCAAAAAGAAATGCAAAAGGACAGTCAACCGACTCTGAGATACCTGGTATTAGATATGTTATATGTCTTTGAGTGAGTTTTTAAAAAAATGCGGTTCGTAATAAAGAGATTAAAACCATTGATAACAATTAATGTAATAAAAGTCGTTTATACCTGATAAGTACACTTGGGGTTAGTTAGCCTAGTAAGAAACCGTATATCATTTACTAAATGGGAATCAAGCAGAATAACTGATCTACGTTATCGTTGAAACTCGACTCTAATACTAACTAATCACGGAAACAACTACTTCTTGATGCTACACCCCATAAGCGAACGCAATATACCCGAACCAGTTGGGGTACCTTACTATAAAAATAAAAACGAACCAGCGAACGTGCACAGGAGGGCAGAAATTGCAACACATGCGGCTCCAAAAGGGGGTTGATGGGACCTGGGGATGGAGCGAGTGATGGGGGAGCGGGTGCCACTTCGCGTCGAGAGTTCGTTAACACGAAAAACGTTGCCTCGGATGGCAGGAGAGGGATTTGGTAGGCGAAGCGTACGCCTCCTCTCTTTTGCAACTTGAAGATGCAATAAAAAACGAGGCAAAAAACAAACAAAAAATATATGCAAACGGAAAAATAACAAAATTGGGGTAAACACTCCAAAGACAAATCCCCGCAGCAGCAATATGAATCCAAATCCGAAACCGAAACTGAACCCACCTTGTGTGGTTGCCTCCGTGGTGCTTCTAATATACTTCTGGTTGGAGTTGCAGCGCGATCCCTTGCAGCAGCAGAAGTTGATGTTTCCCTGCCGGGGCTCGGCGCTGGTCACGCACTCCGTTTGATTGCATTCGTGCATGTCCGTGAAGCAGCCCTTCATCTTGATTCGCAAGACACCTGGGGGTAGGAAAAGAGAGTACCCAAATCAATCAGTATGCCTGGAAACAGGGCTAATTCTTCGCCAGGCTCACCCGTTGTCTCGCTGACCGACCAGAGGACATAGCAGCTGGGAAACTTATCCGCCTCCAACTTGCATCTCTCGATCCGTGTTTCACATGGCTGGGTTGTGTTGCACATCTTCTCGTCAAAGTGTTCACATTCTATTTCAGTTGGCAGGATGGATCCGTTGATGCCAATCAGGCAGCAGCCTATAATTATGAGAATTATAGTTTATTAAGATTTGTTTAGTTTTACAATTTTAAAATATATAAAGCACAATGAGTGCCTCGGCAGGTGCACCAGGTGAAAGATCAAAGCTAATGGAATTATTGGTTAGAAGTGCTCGTGGGGTGGGCAAATAAAGCCGAGCACATTTGGGAAATGGGGTTTTAAAGGGAGGACCGCTGTGCGAGCTCTTTGTGGGCGCTATCCTTTGTACACATATCGCATGCCCAACAGCAGGAGTCAGGTCCTAAACTGGGGCCTATGCCATTGAAAGCCACCCCATTTGGGCACGGAATTAGCCCCACTGGCCACACACCAGCCTTTGAGTGGGCATGGCCCCAATGCACGGATATGCAGTGCACAGTGGGCCTGATTATATGTCAAAGAGTCATCTGAGTCACTTCCTTAGCTATAATCGCGTTAGAGGTTCTAATTTAACGACAGTCACAACAAATTAGACTAATTTAAATGGTCTCAACATTAATTAGCACTAGTCTAAAAAAAATTCCTAGACAATAATTCCATAATTTGAGGGTCCGAGATTGGAACACTTACTGAAATGCAAATTGGGTTGATAAGGCTATCTCGAAATGAGAGTTCTTGTGGTTTAATACAATCATTTGTACTTGAGTTAATCTATGGAACTATTATGCAGAATGTATTTTAAGTAGAATGTATTGTAAGGTTTTGACACAGATTTTAACTGAAGAATTTTGAAGATATATGTTTCACAATTTGACATATTCACAAATTAAATAAAAACTACAAAATATATAAAGTGCGGAATCCTTAAACTTTGATTTTGGTAACTTTCCTAATAGTATTCCACAATGTCAAGGTATTTTAGAACGATCTATTAATTCTATCCTAACCATTTTTCGATCCTTAGCTGTACTTTTTGCCCCACTGTCCTTTGGGTAATCGGATCGCCAGATGTACGAGTGTGTATGTTCGTAAGCGTGCATGCTTTATAGTAAAGTAGATACATAAGCAGGCACATTATGCACACAGAAAGGGATGGGTTTAAAGTGGCGCTTGTGGGGAAAAAGGAAACAGCAGAAACAACAACAACAGCAACAGGGAAGGGAGCCCACTGCGCCACAGAGAGAGAGAGGGATATGGATAAGGCGGGAGAGAGAGCGAGAGGGGGAGGAGTGAAAGGGAGGGAAAACCAGAACCTGTCATACAACAAGTTCCTAATGCAGCAAAATCCATTCAAAGAAATGCTCTGCGTACACACACACGGATCAAGATTGGGAATTGGATATCCGATCGATTAATACCCATTATGATTTTGGTATATAAATGCTGACTTGTTTATCAGATACATTTATGGGATCTTTAAAATGTTGATCTATGGGAAACCCATTGTGATAAATATCTAACTACTCTATTAAAAAGTTTCATAACTTCAATGTTTTCTAAATTGAGTATATTATTTATAGAAATGGTAACATTTTTGGGATATTTAAAATGTTGATTTCTAGAAAATCTTTTGTTATGACTTAAAACTAGATCTTACTACACTACTAAAGTAGTTTAATATTAATTTCGTTGTTTTTTAAACTGAGTATCTTGTAGATACATAACTAATTGAAAGGTTCCCATGCTCATATGGTAACTACACACGATTTTAGAAAGATTAGAATGGGAAGAACTGGGTTATCACCAAACGAATACGCCCCATATCATTTTTAGGCGCCATGTGATATTAATAAGGTAGTAATGTTACGCTGAAGGCTGTTGGAAATCGCGCACGAGGGGAAAAATGCAAGTTGAGAATATAAAAAAATATAAAATAACAAGGCAGTGTCGGGAAGTAATGACAAAATATAGTATTGTCAATAATGGCGACGGGGAATTAAGGCGCCAATAAGTGTGCACCCACACACCCGCAGTGCAATACATATGTATATGCATATGTACATACCCAGCAATAGCTGCGCCGTTAGATAAAGCAGATCGTATTTGGACATTATTGTTATCGCAACAGGGCCAACTTGTTTACCAGCACTCGCGCTGCGTATACGTAATGCGATTATTCCGATTTTTTAGGGCTACTGGTGGAGTATATTGGTTTTATTTTGGCACAGAGTTCCTGTTGTCTTCTCCTCTCCTCGCACTTATTTTCGTGTATATTAGGTGTGTATGTGTGGGTGGCCGAGTTTGTGTGCGGTGTTGCTGCAGCGATTTTGCTGGCCACACGCCGTTTGCATGCGCATTTTCCGCGGCTTTTCCTCGACTTTTCACCGCGATTCGATCGTAGGCCACAGGGGCTAAGGGTTATTTAGTTGCGAGCTGCACTTTTGCGATTTTCACAGGTCTGCGTCCTGTTTTCCAAGCTTTTTTTTCAAGCGAGCACGACTTTGGGTTCTTTTTTTGTCGCAGCGGGGCGGCGATAGCGATGGTCAACTGTCGATAACTTCGATTAACAACCAGGGCTGGTTAACCAAAAATACTAAATACTAGTATTTTATAGAAGGTATTTCCAGGTGAGTGGCACCTGTCCACACTGACAAACAATTCTGGATTTTTCTTAAGGTGAGTGTTGCTGCTGAAAAAAATTAAGTAAATAATAGGAAAATAAACATTAAAAAACAAGATTGTTATTGGAAATCTAATAAAACAGGTATAAACTCTGTTTTCCATTGGATGCATACCCTTTAAACAGAGTTTTTATCTTGCAAATTGCCTGCTACTTTCGCCCCTGCAAACATGGCGTCGCTTCACCGTTAATTGCGTCTTCTCTTTTTTCCTCAGCCAATTTTACAAAGCAATTCAATCGAGTGAAAAATGACTGGACGCGGAAAGGGAGGCAAAGGATTGGGAAAGGGTGGCGCCAAGCGTCATCGCAAGGTGCTCCGTGATAACATCCAGGGTATCACCAAGCCCGCTATTCGCCGTTTGGCCCGTCGCGGCGGTGTGAAGCGTATCTCTGGCCTGATTTACGAGGAAACTCGCGGTGTGCTCAAGGTATGTCCTGAGGGGGAGGGGTTCTGAGAACAAAGAAAAACCAGTTGTAATCCCGGCGATAATTCACAGGTATTCCTTGAGAACGTGATTCGTGACGCTGTCACCTACACCGAGCACGCCAAGCGCAAAACCGTGACCGCCATGGACGTGGTCTACGCCCTCAAGCGCCAGGGACGCACCCTCTACGGTTTTGGCGGCTAAGCGTCCGCCCATGCCTCTACTTAATCACTAACCATGGGTTAACTTAACTACATTCAAATTACTTGATCCAATTGAATCTTAATCAGTAGTATTCACCATAAACTTAATCAGACGCATATTCAATAATTCCACAAATATACGGACTAAATAAATCAAAAGATATCGCGTAGAGAGCACAAAAGATGGGAATCCTTAATGTCTTTGGCGGTTAAAAGATACCTAGAGGTTAATGAAATCAAACCATAACCTGTAGGTGGCATTGATATCGCAATAAAGAGTAATAACCATTTCGACAGCCAAGTTGCCACATTTAGAACAGAAACAAAAATTAAATATTTTACGTAGTGAGCACACAAATGGTAAACCTTTAATGGCAATCAGTAAGACCAATTTATATTTTTGTACATTTTTTGCGCAGCTTGTATTCGCAGAAGGCAGGACACTTGCAAAGAGGGGGAGGTTCCATTTTGTACTGGTACTGTCCGGGAGTACGACTGGAAATTTAGCTCTCCCAGTGGGGATCCCATCGAATCGAGTTGGCTGGTTTATGGTGGTACTGCTCCTCGAAGGAGCTGGCAGAGGTGTCCCTGCTCCTACTACGAATGGCTGCTTGGATTTTGAAAAGGGAAACCTAAAGTCCTGGCTCCTAGAAGCTTTGCTCCTGCTTCTTGAGCTGCAGATAAAATTCACGCGGAGAGATGAGTTTTCCTTCTTCATCTGGCGCATCGCCACCACCTGCATCACCATCTCCGCCACCGCCACCGGACTCGTCCGCCAGCGACAAAGATTCGGAGTGCTTGTGCCGCACAATGACCTGCATGGAGGAGTATTTGGAACTGCCCCGCAACGTGGAGTCCGTGGTTTCGGCCTCATAGTCGGAGTTCTCCAGCGTGGCATCGGTGGAGGAGATCTCTTCGTAGCTGGACATGTACGACTCCATTTGCATTTCGTTGAGTGGCACCTGATGACTATCTTCAGGCCGGGGTTTAAGGCGTTTTTTCGCCGGCTTGCCAGCGTTCGCTTTGCGCTCCAGGCAGCTGACAAACTGCGCCACATGACCGTCGCCAGAGCCTACGCCGCCGCCGCCGCGTTTCTGGGACAAAGCCTCGACCAGGTTAGAGGGTTTCTGCCTTCGGTGGGATCCGTCGCCCACGCCAACCACGTAGCCCTTCTCGTAGCCCCGCTTCACTGGTTGCTCCTGCTCGTAATTGTAGTTGTAGCCATAGCCCGTGTCGCCGCCTTCGCCCTCATAACGTTGGCCGGGATTCATCATGGAACTATCGCCAATGTCTGTCTCAAACTGCACAGCAGGATTCAGCTTGAACTGGGAAAGGAAATATTAATGTCAAGGTAGAAAGCTTTCACTTTCAACTAAAAAAACGAAAGGATACTTACATCGTGCTCGTTTGCAAACTCGTGATCCGACTTGGACTCGCGATTCTTGTTCTTGTCCTCCTTGGGATTGTTCTCCACATACTTTATCTCGCTGCGCACCTTGCGCACCTGGAGCTGTTTGCGTTGAACGTGCATTTGCTGCTGGTATTGCTGCTGCTGCTCCTCCTCGTTTATTGGTTCCGACTCCGAAAGGCTGGCCTCCGCCAGCTCCTCCACTTCATCCTCTTCCTCCTGTTCTTGCACTTCGCGTAGACTCCTCAGCTGCTGCTCCATGGAAGGATGCTTGATCTGCATGGGTGAGGATTGCTGTAGCAACTGCTGTTCCTTGCGCAAAGTGGCTATCTCGCTGCGGGGCGTGACCTCCGGGCTGGTGACAGCACTGTTGACCAGCCGGTTGAAGTGAGATTGTCGATAGCTCTGCGAACTGAAAAACAGAGGAAAATAACAAATGGAGAGCTGCTAAAGAGCTAGTTAAACTCACTTCTTGACGACTTCAGGCATGACCTCATTTCGCACCACATATTCCCTGGAAACGTTCGTCTGGGATCCTCCCTGCATGACCTTCTCCTGGACCATGTGGTTGGAATCGGATCGCATCAGCTGGTGGCTTAGTTTCTCGTTCAGCTTCTCGGCCTTCTTGCGCAACGTCCGCTCGAAGGAGAGCTGCTCCTCCAATGCCTTGGTGTGGGCGAGCAGCTGGGACACGGTGACCTTCTTGTTCTTGGGCAGACTCTGCAGCCCGTTGACGCAACTCAGGTCGTACTCCGGCTCCTGTTTCTCCTCGGGTGGTCCGCCCAGATGGTCACGGATGTTGCGCTGCAGGAACTTGCTGATGCCCTCGTTGTTTCGCACATTGAACTCCGTGATGGCTGTGTTCAGCTCCAGGCAATCGAGGATCAAATTGGCCCCAATGTCCGTCAGGCCGCAGCCCTCCATGTCGATTTCTGTGGGGTATTTGAAGGGTATGGAATAGCACTACTCGTACACTACTTACTTTTAATCCAGGCGTCCTCTTTTAGGACCTCAGTGATCCACCGAATGCCGTCGTCGCCGATCGCAGGATTGTCCGCCAGCAGGACAGTGCGTAGTCCACCAATCGTGTTCACATCCACACTGCGGTAGCGCAGCGACTTCTCCCATCCCTCCGAGAATCTAGTGATCTTTTGCATCTGAAAAAACGGGAAAAGGTGGGTCAAATTACAAAATAATTTAGTGTTTATTATTCTTTAGGGACAAGGGGTCAAATGAAAGTTATACCTATTTATGGACCATCTTACCTTGAGCATATCGGCCACATGTTCGGCTCCCTTGGATGTGAGTCCGCATTCAGAGAGATCGAAGACCTCTATGCGATTCAAGTATTTGGCTGTGTTGCAGACCACCTCGCAGCCCTTATCACCAATGTTGGACTTCCGAAAACTCACTGTTTCGAGGCATTCGTTGTCGGCCAGTGACTGTGGATGGAGGTTCTTCAAGGGATGCTCTCGATCAGGATTAACTCACATCTTACCTTGGCAATGGTCTCGATATAGCCATCCTGTAAAGGCAATCCCTCCAGCTTCAGAACGCTAAGGTTTTTGTTGCTTGAAACGCAGTTGGCAATCGCCTGAACCAGGCTGTTAAAGATGAAGCGCGTATAGATCACCGGTCGTTGGCGAAAGAGACGGGCCCGCTTCTCGGTGTCTATGGGATCGATGTTGGCTGCCGGAAAAATCAAAGAGGTCAGTTCTGGGTTTATATTTCCTGTAGTTCTAGAACTGTTGTGGGTTGGAATGAGTTTATGTTTCGGACGAGCTTTTTCGAAGGAAATTAACTTTACTTAAGCAATACATATAAAAACCTTTAGATAGCTAAGGATTTAACATTTGCTAAAAAGTAGGGTTAGACATTTATTATGAGGAATCTTTAGGACTTCAGGGAATTATAAGTGGCTAAGACTTGAATTAGTAAAAATTCAAAAGCTTAATAGTTTTCAGTCCTTTGAAAAGAAATCCCCTCTTTAAAATCACTTACTTTGTGGATATGTTCGGCGCAGTCGCACCACCAGCTGTTGGAGCACCAGGTCATAGTGGAGCGCCTCGGTCAGGAGCTGCCAATCGCTGACCGCCAGTTTGTCGCCACACAGCTCGAGGAGAGTGGTGGTCGCATTTGACTTGCTCCGTATGTCCGGCACAGGTGTCAGATTCTTGGCCCGGCACAGCTCCAGGTAGCGGAAGTGAAACGAGCGGCTCTTGCTGGACTTCTTTACCAGCGGTGGAAGCGACACCACCACGGTGTTGCCCTTTCGCGTCAGCTCACCTGAGTTGCCTTTACGCATCATCGTCACTTGACTTATGGACATGTTCTAAGGAACTAGGGATTAATGTGGTTTTACATGAAGGTGAGGAAACTACATATATTTTCAATGTTTAATACTTGTAGGCTAGGAAACTATTTGTTAAGAGCCAAAATACATTTTGAATAACATAATTCTCCCATTTTATCAGATAAGATTATTTTAAAAGAGAGTGATCAGAAATCATTGATTGCCCAACAATAATATTTTTTACTGACCTGTAATTAAAATATTTTAAAGTCATAGATCATCCCTATATTATAACATCTATTTAATAATAGTTTTAGAATAAATATCCGTTCTTCTGTCATATTTAAAAGAAAGCTCACTAAATGGTTGTAGGGAATAACTCATCTGCTGATATTACAATGCTGATAATACAAAATTGGTATTCATTTGGTGAATACCCCTTTTGTTTAGACTAGCTGTAACCTTAAAAATTGCATAAGCCCACGCACTTCCGGTCTCCACTGACCACCGTTGTCAAAGTTCCCCCAGACTTCCAGTGAGCGCAGAGTTACGATCCAGTAACAAGCTTGCAAATTGTAAACAAACAAAGCTTGCCCGCCGCCCACTAGCCGGTGGAATTTACGGTTGGCTAATTACTCGCGTGCCTGCAGTGTCTCTCTTTTTTTCCAACCCGGCTATATCTTTCTCTCCCCACTAGGGTTGCCATGGCTTTTAGCGACAACTCGATTCGAGTAGAGCTATGAAGTCTCGTTAGCTTGTTTTCCAAACTCAACGTCAGTCGTCGAGCGGCTGTTGTGGTAAACACTTCGTCCAAAAAACGTTTTCGCGGAAAACACTTAACGGTTTTCGGGTTTCGAAAGTGCAAATAGCTTTAGTCGCTATTTTATTCATTCAGCCAAGAACTTGGTAGACTTCGTGTTCTGCGGCACGTTCCGTTGTTATTAAGTGATCTGGCCACCATCCAAGTTTCGAGGCCCCTTACCACTCTTTAAATTCGAGTTCCGGTTCGTGCATTGCCCAATTTCGAAGCGTGCGACACGTTTATTTTATGCGGTTTCATCGTGTACTCCATATGTGTGTTCTGCGGGGTTCTTGACTTATGCCTAATTACCAGTGACGTCGAAGCCTTTTCAAAAAATGTGTCAGCCACGAAATTTGTCAGTTCTCTGGTAGTTGTTGAAAGACACTCAAGTGTGACACTGCAAGTGTTGGTTGGCTTCAAATAATTATCCTCAAAGTGTGGAGTACCCCAAAAAAGGATACTCGGACTCAAGGAATATCTACTTTATAGGGGGTAAGTAAGCGGAACCGGTTTGCATTCATGTCCTGGCATGTGGCAGGCTTTAAAAGAGGGGGATAGTTAGGAGGCTTCTTGCATGGAGTTGTTAGGGGTGTAGATATTGAGCCCTACACCGAAAAAAAGATCTCTAGGATATTAGAAGATATTATTTTATAGAAGTCTTCTCTTTTTTATATGGAGTGATTTAATGAGTGCAAAAAAACATAATCCATAGATAAGAATTTCTTAGAACTACTTGCAGCTTGTGTGATCCCAAAACAAAACTTCATATACCTATAAACTATTTGGATATATGAAAACTTAGGTAAATATGTACAACTTAACCACGAAGTTTATAATAATAAATGGTAAAAGGGGAATTAGGGTTCCCTATACTATTATCATAAAATGTTTCAAAGATTTAAAAGGAGAATTAGGGAATCCAATGTGTAATTTGCACTAAAATGATTAAATAACTTATGAATACTATGTATGTAATATTTATAGGAACTTATAAAAGTAGCCATATATCTTGAGTAGTTAATTCGCACCTAGTTATTTCATTCGGTGCAGGGAGGCCTGAAGTTCAACCTCGAAGGGTTGGCCAACTTCTCTTCTTGCAGTACTGCAAGTGAGGTCAGAGTTTGTGTCAAGGACTTGGCTGCTCTTCCAAGACAAGCCAGCCAAATAGATTGTTTAATTACCCAAAATGAAGAAATACTTGCAAAGCAGATTTACAAATAGAAAAGTGCAAAAATCGAGCCGAGCCAGAAAAGGAGCCGAAGTGTAACGGACAAATTGCTCACGACACCAGCCAAAACATCTAAGCCAAGATCCAGAGCTTGGCTCGAAAAGTGAGACGGATGCGGGCGTCGCTTGAACCCGGGCTATGAGTCAAAAACCAAGCCACCGCAACGGAGCCAGCTCCCCTGCCCTCCCAAAGCTCCTTTTGTTTGTCAGCCAGCAAACAATTGTTGGCTGCTGGCGTTGAACTTGACTGTCGGCGAGACCCGCACATATATACCAGGTATATATGTACATATCGGAATCGATGGGCATGACAAAAGGGCCCTAATACGGGGGAGGAAGTGTTCAAATTGGAGTACTCGGAACGCCAGGGGCCCGATTGTTTGCTCGCGGGCCGGAAACTGGAGGCAACATTGGTCACAACACGATCCGCACCAATCTCAATCTGCAGCGTGGCACTCGGAGAAAAATTTAGATTTGAAATGGATAAGATTGACCAGGTTTTGTAATGCAAATATAGCAAGAAATATGGGTAGAAAAGATAAGAACACCTATCTTTATAGTTTTATAACCAATAAGTTTGTTAATCAATGTTAAAAAATAACCCTCTAAACAGGATATTTGATTGGTTTGTCATTATTTAGTTTTTATTCAATGTTTACTGTAATTTTTTGAAAGTGTGGCTAATAATTTAACATTTAAAATGCTCGGATATAACAAAAGATCCTTGTTATAAGTTATTGTTAGCTGGTTTCCTAACTCCCGTAAAAATTTTACATTGTATAACATTCAATTTGGTTATAAGTTTTCATTAGTTTTTACGTATCTCAGGGCTAACAAGCTTTTTCGACTCTATGGCTAACATTTTTCCGAGTGTTCATATCTGACTGCCGCTCTCAGCCGGGCTTAACATATTTAATATAATTAAGTGAGCCCCTGCCTGGCTTGGAAAGTCATGAACCGGCGATGACTGGGGATGGTATGGGGCGGAGAAAGAGATCGGGGAACTTGTCGCAGAGGCAGACAAATCAAAATTGTTTATTGGGATTTCCATTTCGGAGGCGATTACCTTAAAGCCGCCAGTTTTGTATTTTTTTTTGCGGTTAGCTTTGGCCCAAAAGCCACAAGATTGGCGACGGTGACCGCTGGATACACCGCGCACTTTGGACACTTTTCGTGAAGGATTTCACTTTTGGCCCACTCGGACGGGGTCAGAACTTGGCCAAGCGTGAACCCTGCGAGCAGAGTCATTAGCACCGAAGTTCGCTCGGATTCGGATAGGGATTGGGATCCACATAGGTGTATCTCCAGGTCGCTGATATACCTATCTGAACTTGCTGAAAGGCACCGTCGTCATGGTGGCTGGGTGAAGTGTTTTGTTTGACTTTTCGGCGACTCCTCAGCCACTTCTGCCACTTTCCACTTACGTAAAACCGGGGCAAACGTCAGATATGGAAGACCCCCGACTGATTTGGCCGATCTCACCGGGGAGGCGTAACTTATTAATTTGTCTTAATTCAGTGGTTTTTAGCTGTGTGGAAAATTGGCAGCCAGAAAGTGGAAGTGCGTCTCCCACTAATGGAGTTAATTAAACTAAATGCGATTTTGAATGGTCTCATTTGGGGTAAAGTGATAGCCCAGAAATTAGGCTAAATAAAATGCATGGTTAAGCTTTGAGCAGCATATTCATTTAGTTTTCTTTTAATGTATTATATTGGCCTAATTAATTACAAAGATATACGATTCTTTAATACGTATCTTTTGTCCTACTCCTTAAGAACCTAATTTAAGCACCTAAAGATTTTAAACAATTTCAAAAGGCCTTGGATTTTGGTTCCTAAGGGTTAATGGGTTACAGAGCGTATGATTGATACTCACATATATTTACTCCAAGTCTCCAATACGTTTGAAACGGTTATGAAACTCACACGAACAATATATATCTGCAAGTACACAATGGCATAAACAATAAATATTTTAATACCCGGTACCGATATAGATCTCCCCCGCACCCAAAATCATCGACAGCTTTGATAACCCCGATTCGGCTGGGCCGAGGCAGTGCAGCATGAAATTGCCTGGCCAGCGGAGCATCAGCATCCCCCTACCCATCCCCAAAACCCTGAATCGTCCAACTGACCAAACAACCCAATTGCCGTCGTTACACAAACTTGCTGGCCACGGATGCATGGATAATTATCCACGGATGGAGATGGAGAGAATCGGCCGCCCAAAAGCAGAAGATGCCGCAGATACAGATACTCGTAGTCGTAGTCGTACTCGTACCTCGGAAAATGTTGCATGCGGCGCGTGTTGAAAGCGAAATCAGGCGCGGATTGTGATTACTTTTGAATCACTTAACCGTGATCAGTTAAGGCGACTCTCTAAACGACCTTGCTGCCTGATTTTCCCGCGATAAAGAGGTTGATGCAACCTGCCACAGAGCTTGGTAATCACCTATCCCAGAGATACACAAATCAATTACCGTCGTCGGAGGCATTTACGATGGCAGGCCATTAAGAAATAGCCAAGCAATTGCGAAATCAATGAACCACACACTTGGCAAATCTCGCGGATCTCCTGCTCCGATTGCAAATGCGCCTAACCGAGTTGAACTCGCAAACAATGGTTTTAATAATGCATAATGCATCTCCAACTTTAACTGACAGATGCAGTCATCGCTCTACCTCTAAACATATATATATATATATTTCACACGCAGCCCCTGTGAAAAGATGAAGAAGGGTTTATCACGAGTCTCCTCGTGTGGAGTGTGGCAACATCATTATTATTATCATGTTCCCATCATCTTTATATCTCTCTCTTAAGAAAAACTTTCAATTTTCACTCCACTTGAGCGAGAACTTATCCGCAATTTGTTCGAAATTTGCAATGAGACAAATCTGGCACATGAATAAGCCAAAGTAGTAATAATTGCCGGGCAGTTTAGAAAACGTTCCGGTCGTTAAACCTCGTACAAAATAACAACTAAAAACTAAAGCAGCCGCAAAACCCATAAAATTTCTTTAGCGGAATTCCAGGCTGGCGCTGAGCCAGCATTAAAGTAAACTGAAAGCCAATAAAGAGCTGACGCTTAATTAATTTCAGTTTTGAGCATAAAACTTTCGCAAAAAAAACAGATCCGCTGGCCAATTCTCACGCAGAACATACGGACATATAGAACACCTGTAGACACGCAGACTGCGAGTCCAGTTCCATTCAGATTTCTTAATGCACGACCTAATTGAGTTCGCTTTTATATTTTTTTGGACATGTAGCAATGGCAGAACGGGCACAGAACTTCTCTTGTAGAATTCCCCACTTTGAGTTACCTTCTCGAGCGAAACTGGCGACGGGTCATAGATCACAGACCATAAAACGTGCGACATATGTGTGGGGAAAATGGGTTAACACTTGGCTCGCCTCTTTCGTAACACTCTGTCTATTTCTAGGTGTCGTCGTCGTCGCCGTTTACCTGTCATGAGCTAGTGCCTCTAACCAGTATCCCCACAATCTAAAAGAATGTACAACGAACCACAGTCGCAGTCGAGTGGCCATGGCATTGGCAGCATGGACTACAAGAAGGTTCGCTTAAAAGGACCAAGGCAGCGAAAATTCCCTAGTTATGTAAGCCCCATCCACACCCAAGTCATAATACTCACCGCACTAATCAGCTTGGTGGCCTCAAATCGCCCGCCGCGCTTCGCTATCGACGGGCAGTCAGAGATTGTACTGCGTCTTAAGGAGAGTCCTGAAACGAAAGTGGGTAAGTAAAGTTACGATTTTATATTTTTCAAGTCGAAATAGGAATTAAATTTTAAGAATTCGTAAATTTGTCCTAAAAATATGGCATGCTACTGCCAGAAGTAGTAGTGTAAAATGATCCTATCATAACCATATATCATCATAGAACAAAAGAAATGAAAGTCTCCGAACTTAAATGTGCAACTTTAGATACAAAAATTCAAGCTGATATAAAAATGGTAGTGTGTCATGTTTTAAAAATTTAAAGATGAACTTGCAATCTGCGATAAGTGCCGAATGTGATCTAGATCTTAATTTAACGATCTGATATCAAGCATCTTTATCTTGAATGTTCTAAAATTGTTTGCTTATCACATTCTTAATATCTTTATCTTTTCGACCTTATCATTTAAAATGACTTGCGCTTTATATTAATTTATTTCCTACTTATATGAACGATGCATGTAGAATACCGACTGTATTTTACTTATTTCTATATATATATTAATAGAATATTTTTCATTCTTTCAAGGAACCCTGATATACACGCTAAAGGGCTACGATCCGGACAACGATCCGCTGACCTTTGGCAAGCGCAACTCGCATGATAGCGAGATCATCCGGATAGAGAACACGGGTGGCAACGAGGCCAAGATCTTTTTGGCCAAGGAACTGGATCGCGAGCTGCAGGACGAGTATTCCATAGTGCTAACACTGACCGACAGTCATTACAGCGATCACAACTATGTGACGCAAAGCTTTTTGCTCCTGGTTGAGGACATAACGATAATGTTCCCAGCTTCCTGCCCTACCAAAATGCCATCGAAATACCAGAGGGCAGTGCTCCGGGAGTGGTGAGCACGCTGGAGGCCACGGATGCGGATGAGGGCGCCTATGGCCAGGTGGTGTACTATCTGCAAGAACTGGATGGAGATAATGATGTGTTCAGCATAGCCACCCATCAGGGTAAAGGCATATTGAGGTTGCAGAAGGAGTTGGATTACGAAAGAAAGAGTCTGTATCAGCTGAGAGTGCTGGCCATCGATCGTGCTAATCAGGGACCCATAAACACTGGTACTGCTGCCATTCTGGTGAAGGTTAAGGATCTGGAGGATCAGCCTCCGGAATTCGTAGAAGTTCAAGCAGTGGCGCGAATCGCCGAAGACGCTCCTGTGGGCACAAAAGTTCTGAGAGTTCGGGCCATTGATGGAGATCGTGGGATCAATAACCCCATAGCATATTCCCTGGAGGCCAATGATTTATTCGACATAGATCCGCACACCGGAGTAGTTCACACGCTCACTGAATTGGATCGAGAGGAGCAGAGTGATCAGGTGAATGGAGCCCACATCTTACGGATTTCAGCCACCGAGTTGTCCAAATCGAATACCCAAATGGCACCCACAACAGTTCGGACTGAAGTTACGATTATAGTGAGCGATGTGAACGATGAGATACCCACTTTTGCAGAAAACGTGTATCGCTGTGAGGTAAATGAGAACGCCCAGACCAACACCCCGCTTAATTTTATCGACGAGGAAGTACAAAATGTGGTTTTCGATCATGATGAGGGCAACAATGGCACCTTTCGCTTGTTCCTGGATCCGCCCAACGACCTGTTCGAGATCGTACCTGAGTTGGCTGTTAATGAGGCCAACTTTATGCTGCGGGTGAAGAACTCAAAGTCACTCGATTTTGAACAGTTCACCGAGGTCAATTTTACCATATTTGCGAGGGAGGTTGACGAGCCCAGTCGATGGAGGTGTGTTTTTATATCTTATATTACATTAGGTTACAGAATTTCTAACATTTATATCTTTCATAGTTCCGCTCATGTGCAGATATTTATAAGAGATCAAAACGACAACTTCCCGGAGTTCAGTCAGACGATCTATAATGCCAGTGTGTTGGAGAACAGTGAACAGGACACGATTATAACCCAAGTACAGGCGGTGGATGTGGATTCGGGGGATTACGGAACTATGGGCATACGATACACCAACCTCAGAGGAGGCATAGCTCACTTGTAAGCAGTTGTAAGAAACCTTAATATCTACATAGTAATACTCTTTACTTTTCTTTTTAGAGTCAATCTAAACCCTATAACCGGAGTCATAACTATCAAGCAAGCAGGTGGAACAGCCTTCGATCGTGAGATCATATCCCGGCACTATCTCACCGTGGAAGCCATCGATAGCGCTGGTCAGGGCAACAGGAATACGGCCCAAATTATCGTGGACATTCTGGATGTGAATGATAATGCTCCAACTTTTCCCCAGCGACAATACGAGACCAAGTTGCTGGAGAACCAGGCTGAGTTTGAGACCCCCTTGCAATTGGAGGCCAGAGATGCGGATCTCAATGGCACGGAGAACAGCCAGGTGACCTACGAGATTGTGGAAGGCATGTACCGCTCGAACTTCACCATAGATCCGCAGAGTGGCCTGCTGCGTCCGGTGCACCGTTTTGACTTCGAGGAGTTGGTCGAACGAAGCAGTGGCAGTCGGAGTGATCCCCAGGCGGGAGGATCTTCAAGCATCCGGGAGATCGATCTCCTGGTGCGAGCTCGCGATTCCGGCATTCCCATGCTCTCCACAGTGGTCCCAGTTCTTATTTACGTGCAGGATGTGAACGACAATGCGCCCATATTCCAGCGCAGTTTCTACGCCAAATCCATTCCCGAGGATCTGCCAGGTGGGAGTTCGGTTCTACAGGTAACAGCCGTAGATCGAGATGGATCCTCGCCCAACAATGCGGTGGTCTATCGCATACAAACTGGAGCCAGCGATAAGTTTATCATAAACTCGGAAACGGGCATTATATCGGTGGCTCAGGGAGCCAATCTAGACCCAGATCTTACGGACAGCAAGAGATCACTTTATACCCTCTCAGTGGTGAGTCCACAAGCGTTTTCTTTTAATTTCCTTTTACTATTTTAAACAAATTTTCTTTATATAGATTGCTCTAGATGGAGGCTTGGGCAACTCCCAACTAATGACAACTTGTACGGTGAACATCAGCATTCAAGATGTGAATAACAAGGCCCCTGTTCTAACTGAAATGCCTGCTTTGAAAATCGTGGAGAACACTCCTGTGGGCACACTGGTCTATCGTATCCGGGCAACGGACTTAGACCACAAGGCCATCCTGCGGTACAAACTGAACCCGGAACACTGTGAAGGTCGCAGTGAGGAGGGTGCGTTGGTAAAAGCCAGCGAATACGACTTTCTGGGCGCCTTTGAGGTGGATCCCATCGAGGGAAGCCTCAAGGTAATCAAACTGTTGGATCGCGAAAGGGTGGAGCACATTAAACTGGCCATTACTGTGGAGGATCTGGCTGCAGCTAAGGGCAGACAGATGGCTGAAGGTAGGTACTCTGGGCAGAAGAATCACATTCATCCCTCTAAATGATATAACTATATCTTCTTTTAGGTTTCCTAAGCATACAAGTGCTGGATGAAAACGACAATAACCCCAAGTTCCGGCTGCCCTTCTACCGGCAATCCATAACAGAGAACAGCATAAATGGAGCCATGATTGTGAATGTGCTGGCCGCGGATGTGGATAAGAATCGTACCATAACCTATGCCCTGGAGGGGAATCCCACATATCGGTCACTGATGCACCTGGATGTGCAGACAGGGGAGATTGTGGTGGCCAGCAAGATTGACCATGAGCAGCACCAGTGGCTTAACTTCAGTGTGAAGGCCACGGACTCCGGAGTGCCAGCCAGATCCTCACTGGTTGATGTTTATATAACCGTTCTGGATGAGAACGATAACAATCCCTACTTTGTGGGTGGCAGCAAGAACTATACGATCAGTGAGAATGCACCTCCTGGAACCAGAGTAGCCACTCTGCAGGCTGGGGATGCGGATTCGGGTGACTTTGGCAAGATCACCTTCCTAATGGATCGCATCAGTTCGCAAGGAAAGTTCACCATTGATGCGGATACTGGAGTGCTAACGGTGGCCGATCGCCTGGATAGGGAGTCGAAGGACTCCTACAACCTCGTGATCGAGGCCTGGGACAACTATCAATTCGGTTTCCTGGCCGGAGAAAGTCGGAATGCCTTTAAGCAGGTCTTGTAAGTTATTGGAACTCCGTTGTAATTGAAGGGCTTTATTATAGTCTAATATTGTAGCATTTCCCTACTGGATGAGAATGATAATCCTCCGGAGGTTAGCCTGCCCGACAGTTGTGTCCTAATCACCGAGTATCATGAGTTACATGAGCGAGTTGCAAGTATAGTGGGTAAGGACTCCGATGATCCGAGTACCCCAAATGGAAGACTGGATTTTGCCATCACGCAGGGCAATAAAGATGGTAGGTTAAATTCTAAAAAGTCAAGTAATTATAAGTACTTAGATTTCACTTTACTTTCAGGCATGTTTGAACTCCGTCAGCTAGACGCTTGGAATGCCCAGATCTTCGCCAGCAAGAGTTTGCGCAATAGGTTTGGAAACTATAGCCTTACGATAACCACCCGAGATATGGGTCTTCCGGCAAATATTGTACACAGCACGCTGGACATTTGCGTATCGGATTTCAACGATCACGCTCCGGTTTTTGTAAGACCACTACATAATACAACAGTTCGGATTCCGGAAAACGCCACTGTCGGCACTCTGATACTACAGGCTTTTGCCAGTGATGCAGATATGGGCCAGAATGCTTTGGTTAGATATCGCCTGAAACCCGATCCCTTGGGGAGCTATAAGATGTTTGAGGTGAACGCCAACTCAGGCGAACTCTTCCTACGAGAGCCACTGAATCGTGAAAAGCAGAAGATTCATGAGGTATGTATAATCTAAATATTGGAATTTTTAAAGGACTTATATTTTATTAATATTTTCTTAAATACAGATCCGCATAGAAGCCTACGATCAGGGATTACCCACCTCGCTTAGTTCCGACTTGGACCTCACCATCTATGTGCGGAACGTGAACGATTACGAACCGCAATTTATTGTTAACGAAATATCCGTGAACTTTACGGAGCACTCAGATCCAGGATCAGAAAGGATAAAGCTACCCGACACCATAGATAAGGATCAGTTGGAACTGGACGATCCGAATGATACACCGAGTCAAGTGTGCTACTTTATAGTGAGTGGAAATGAGGCGGGATATTTTCGCCTCGATCCCGAGTCTCACATACTGACTGTTGATCGCGAACTGGATCGTGAGGTGTTGGCGAATTTTACGCTTTATGTTCGGGCCACCGAGAACTGTGGTAATGATTCTCTGACTGGTGGAGGAAAACGTCGTCGTATGGGTATCGAGATCAACAATAGATTGGGGGGCTTTTTCCATAATCAGCAGATTGGATATGATCGCTTTAAACATTCCCGCCAACTGAGATCGCCGGACACCAACGAGTACGAAACCGAGGATGGAGAGATGGCATCATATGAGACATATGACAGCAGTCAGGAGGATCAATCTGGCGGACTAGCACCTACTCACCCAGAATCCGATAGCACTGTGGTGAAGGTTAAGGTGCGAGTGCTGGATATCAATGATAATCCGCCGCGGTTCCGTTCCAAGATCTTTACTGGTGGAATAACGACAAATGCGGATTTTGGTTTGAAATTCATGCGCGTGGAGGCCACGGATGCAGATGAGGGGGAGAACGGAAAGATTGGATACTACCAGGTTGGTGAGATCCGTCAGACCCTCTCCGAAGGACTGGAGAATGTGCGCAAAGCGCCTTTTCTCCTCGATCAGGAAACGGGAGAAGTACAGCTGAACTTTGACCCGCAAAAGGGTATGAAAGGGTATTTCGATTTCGTGGTCTTGGCCAACGACACATCGGGAATGAAGGATGTGGCCCATGTGTTTATCTACTTGTTGAGAGAGGACCAGAAGGTGCGCTTTGTGTTCAGACTCCAGCCGGATGAACTACGATCCCGAGTGGACTCTTTTAGAGAGTAAGTAATGGCTGTGCTTTAAGCAAGAAAAACATCTAACATTACTGCATCTTCCAAACTTTTAGTACCCTGGGCAACATCACTGAATCCATTGTCAACATAGATGAGATTAAGGTCCATGAGAACAAGGATGGTTCGGTGGACAAAACGAAAACAGATCTGTATATGCATCTAGTCGAGCGCGAAGACAACTCCATTTATGATGTAACCGAGGTGCTCAAGCTGATTGACTCACACATCGAAAGCCTGGATGGTCTTTTTAAGGAGCTTAATGTGCTGGACACGCAGGCGGCGGAGGCTCAGCTCCTGACCGCCGGACCCACCCGTGGCCCATTATTCGTGTGGCTGGTGTTTACCAACCTATTCCTGGCCACTCTCTTGGTGGTCACCATTGCCCTTTGTGCCTCGCAGAGGAACGGGTACCGCAGGCAGCTGAGAGCTGCGAAAGTCAATATATTCCGTAAGTAACGTTTACTTCATGGGATTAGCTAATTATATATTAATATAAATTGAAATGTTCTAATCCCCTTAAGGTGGTCACTCCTCGATGTCCCTGCAACATCCCCAGGAGCCCGCCACTCGTGTGCCGAATACCAACAAGCACAGCGTCCAAGGGTCAAATCCCATTTGGCTGAAGGGCTACGACAACGAGTGGTTCAAATCAGAGGAGACTGGCAGGTGCGATATCAAAAATCACCTAATACTAACATATTCCTATTTATAATATTTAAACCTCCTTAGTATTGGTGGCCACGACTCACTGGATGATAACTTTCTGGCCGTGGCTACGCAGGACATGCACGAAACCCTCAAGGGAACCGCTAAGTTATTCAACAACAGCAATGATCTAAATCGACACTTTAATTTGTACAACCAAATCGACAAGTTGACCAACAATGCTCAAATCCTGGCCCGAAAACTGGAGACCACGGAATTATAGCACAAACAGTCTGCACTATTTATTGTACTTAGACTAGGCTTAGGTTAAGATAAGCTCGTAGAACCCATGTAAATATATCGGAGCTCTAATTACAGTTTTAGTCCTGCTATGTCCTACGGCATGCAAATCCGTACAAAATAAGGAACCTATATCAAGTAAAAAGTAATTATCAGACATTTATATGTTTAATTTTTAATCAACTATTCTATAATACTTAAGGGAGAACTTTTTGTTTTCAGGAGTCTTCAGTAAATTACCTTAGTAATAACAAAGAAAAAGTTTTGGAGGATTTGAAAGACAAGAAAAAGGTGACGATGCTCAAAAATGAACCTATTTTATGCCTACATCTAGGCGCTTGAGGAATTTAAAACGGATGAATTTTCCTGACGAAATTGATCTACGCTTGCGAGTTGAACGGCTAATTTTTTTCTCTTTTACACCAGGGCAACATAATCCGTAGCAGGTGGCTGCTGGGCGCTAACATTTTCTTACTGGAAGACAACCGTTAGATTACTACAAGCACACTAGAGATGGGCAATCGCTTGATCCGCAACAAAGCCTCCACATATTTTGAAGTGGCACACCTCTAGATAGACCATAAATACGAATCGTTGGGCACCTACGAATTTTCCTGTTCCCCTGGTGTTTGAAATTGAAAAATCACTAATTTACTTTAATAAATTAAAAGGATTCGCAACATATTTTCTATCAAAACGATGGATTTATGGGTCTCAGACACCAGGCAAACAGAAAACTTAGCAAGTGGCAGCTGATAGCTAAAGGTGAACTTAAATAACTGTTCATTCTACAAAATGGCGGACCTTTCCATATTTCCCCTCCAACAGGAATCTATCAACATGGGAAACAACCGTTGGTTTAAAGTAAAGTGAAGATCAGAGATGAGCAACTATGGCTGTGTCACGAGCTTGTCACGATATGCACGAAATAAAAGTGAAGTCCTATGCATTTGCATAGGTCGTGCCAAAAGTAAGCAGTCACGAGGGCATCTCCAATTAGCTTAAATTAAATGAATCAGCTGATCGTTCCTCCACCTGCTAAGCGTTTATGTTTGCCTGGTGTCCGATTTTAAGAAATTTAGCAATTTGACATTTTCTCGACCAGGAAAAAGGCATTTTTTCAGTCAAGGTGCTGGATTTGTATCTCTCAGACACCAGGCAAACAGAAATTATAGCAAGTGACAGCTGGTAGCTGTAAGCTAACTTATTTTTCAAAATGGCGGCCCTTTCCTTATTTCCCCTCCTCTCACTGACCAATAGAAATTGATCTCCATGAGAAAGGACCGTTAGTTGAAAGCTAAGCGCAGACTAGAGATGGGCAACCATGGCGGTTTCACGAGATTGTCACGATCTACACGAAATATCAGTTAAGTCCTATGTGTTTGCTTAGGCCGTGCCAAAAGGAAGCAATCACGAGGTCATCTCCAAGTGAGCTCTAATTAAACTGATCAGCTGATCGTTTCTACACCTGCTAAACGTTTATGTTCGCCTGGTGTCTGAGATTATGAAATCTACCTATTTGAATATATGAAGTTGAAGTTGTTTTTTTCGGCGAAGATGCGAAAATTGGTAAACAAATATACATATGTATTCTGATTTGTATCTATAATAATTTGAAATATGTTATGTATCTTCTAGAAACTTGTTCTTTCTTACAGAATAGATAACAGTAAACTTACCTTTGGCTCAGGTCCTTAGATAGAAAACAGTGGATAGTCTTCTGATGATATATGATGATATAAAAAATATACTTATACAGCACAACTGGAGCGAAGGAACCCATGTTAGCGGAGGATAGAGGAGTATATGGCGCCCACTTACCACGCGTAGATGTCCCCGTGGCGCCGCTCTCAAAACAGACGGCAGCTTACAAACGTACAAAAAAAATGGTCTAATCGGGGAGTCGGCAGCTCAGATAGGCATTTGCATGCATCACAACCGAGAGCAAACGGAATGCCTGCTGAGATATGATATGATAGTCTTAGGAATGCGACCCACAGAGGGAACTGCTACCACCACTCACCTTTGAAAGCGGGAAGGATCCGGACCAGATCTGGTCAGTTGGCTCAGTTGCGCTGTGCTGATGGCTCGCTCCGATTAGATTCGATTCGGTTGGTGGTCGAGCAAGGAACACAAAATAGAAAACAATAATTTTCAAGGTAACCTCTGAATTTAAAAGCTCGACCGCAACTCGACGAAACGCACTGAAAGAAACCTTGGCAGGTTATGCGGGTTTCTCAATCGGCGATTCTGCGGACGTTTTTGTATTTTGTTTTCGGGAGTTACTCGGAGTATGTGTCAAGGGAAAACGGAGAAAATTATGTTGTTTAACGAATGTAATGCTCTGATTGTCTGGCCACCGCCTGCCAAGATCCGCGTCCCCATTTTCCAGTTCCCAGCTATCAGTTCCCCCTGGTTCAATGACAAGCCTGGTTGCTTTGGTTTTTTTACTAAAAATATTGTATTATATTTTCAGGGTAAAATATTCAGTTGCCATAAAATCAATCAATTCTTTTTTCATTTGCTTCGATTTGTTTTATTTTTTTTGTTTCGTTTTCTTAAAGTATTTTGTTTCTTTTTTTTCGTTTATAATAGTTACACAAATTAGATCACAAAAATGCACGTAAATTACAAAATGAAATTGTACCTCATACCGAAAACATAGACAAAACTTCAAATGGTGGAAACGAGGCGGCTACTGGAGGGATGCGGGTTTGTAGGTTCATCGCTACAGTTCTTATAAAGTAAGGGTTCGTTTTTTGTAACAAAAATAGGGTTTAAAGCATATAATCAAATACATAGTTTCGTAGTTTCGCTACTAAAAAAGAACATAAATTTTGTTCGCGTCACTTGCACAGCGATGTAGATCAGAGTAAAGTAATTAGTAATCAACCCGGTAATCGGTAGTCAACCAACTCAAGAACGAATTCATACAGTTATATCTTAATAGGGGATTAAAGATAGAGAGTGAGAGTGTGGGAGTTAATCGTATATCATATATTACAGAGTTCCATTATGTTTAAAGTAGTTCCTTCTGCTCCTATCGTTTCGCTTCGATTTCCGCATGGCCCAAACGAAAATCCCAATGAAAGATGCATGTGTTCGAGTGTGCGATGGGTGCTTCAACATAATGCCAAGTCGATGCGTGTGATACATATACAAATACATAGTTATCTAGTGTTATTAAACGTTTTACGTACATTTAATACTTTCTTAGATTCCATGTGACAGATGAGAAATGAAATCTTACAATGGATGGGGATGGAATGGTTGGGGTCTGAACTTCTTTACGTTTTGTTTGAGGGTTGTGATTTCGGGATCGGGCTCCAGTGAGTGGTATATATCGTATTTTAAAGCGTAACAGTTTTCTTGCTTGTTTTGTGTATTGTTGTATAAATATATCTCGTTTTATAAGTGGTTGCTTGTCACTAGACTAAAGAAAATTACATTTCATTTATGTTCTATTTAATATTTGTTAATTTACAGAATCTAGATAGACGAACGCAAGGTAAAAACTCAAAAATTGTCGGTCAGCCTAATTTTGCTTTTAAAATTTGTTAGGCTAAATTAAAATCGAACAAAGTTTCCGGCCATGGCGCAATGGCTAAATAAAAGAGCTTAAAAATAAATCGAGTTTACACTTTTACATTCTGTTGATTTTTTTGTTATTGATTTTTCTTTCTTTGTTTTGTGGGTTGGTTTAAATTAAAGCTTACACTTAAACGTATGTGTACAGATATATTTAAGTAGTATTATGTATATATAGTTATATTTTATATATATAAGTATATATAGTTGTATATATATTTAGTAATACGATTCGCGGTTTCAAACTAGTCCCTTGTACGTTGTATGTGTGTTGGTGTGGGTGTAGGTATGGGTGTGTGTTTCGTGCAAACCAAGAACTAAACCAAACTTAAACTCTTCTGCTTCTTTTTTGATTTACTCGAAATTGATTGCAATCCTCGTTTGAGTGTAAGGTGTTCTTGTTGTAAATGCGCTCACAAAATGTTTAAACAAATTCTAGGCTTACTTAGGTAAACGAACTCTCACTGTGTAGCGTTCGTGATTTAATTCAGAATTCAAATTTGTTGCTAGATTTCCTACTATTTCGGTTTCATTTTATCTGTTTGCTCCTGGTATCTTTCTATATTTTCCGATTTATATGTATAATAAAGCTGCTCTCTACAATCCTTTGTTGGCTCACTAACAAATTAAGTTTACTTTAAGAGTTATGTAATGCTACAGTTTCCCGCGAATTTACATATTTTATGCTTCCGTGTACGATTACATGTACATTTCATTCTTATTGTTGTTTCATTAAATTGATTTAAATATTTTTGGACATTTTTTCAAAGTTTTTTAATTTTTGTAATTTTTTTTTAGGTTTTTCACATTAACGCATAACTATATGGTTTTCTTGAATGTTATTTAATTATGCATATAACTTTTAAGCAGCATATAGAAGATTGTGCCGAACCAGAATCGCAGTTATAAAATTGCCAAAAGAAGAAAATACCGAAATACTCTTAGCGAAAGCTGCCCGAAAGTGAATGGGAAATATTTAGTTTGGAAAATCTCTTTCTTAGTGAACTCTGAACTGAAGGCCCTAAATCCGATCTGATGCCGGAATTAGGTCTGCACCAGGCCCCGGATGTCGGAGGCGCCGTTGCTGCTGCTGTTGCCGCCGCCGCTGCTGCTGTCCACGAACAGAGTGGCGGCATCTATGCCGGATGTGTTCGGCGAGTGCATCACAGCATCAGCTAGCAGATCATCGTTAACGTCCAGAAAATCGTTAAGAAAGGCGCTGTCCGCCGAGCCGCCGATCGTCTGCTGCAGACACTTGAGGTTCTTATCGGCGATCTCCAAGGCCCGATCCATGGCCTCGCACTCGGCTTGTTGCACTGCATCGGCACAGGTCCAAGGCGAGGTGGAGAGCGATGGCGGCGACATTGGCAGCGGAGGCACACATGGATTAGTACAATGAATAGCTGAACAAGGAAAATTGTGGTTAAATACACACCGGATTGGAACAGCTCGTTGAAGGCATCGTCCGGCAGCGTGTCGAACACATTTACCAGATCGTGCTCCTCCAGCAAGTGGGCGCCATTCAATGCTATGTCATCTGCAAGAAAAAGAAGGGGGTTACAAATCTGGATAACTAAAGGATATTACAGTTTCTGAAGCTCCAAATATATTTCTTTGTTTGGTAGCTACTAAAATGTTATAAAACTCACCAGCATCGTTAGCGCCTATCAGCTCCGACTCACTGAGTCCGCCCAGGCCGGTGTCTTCCGAACTGGCGTACGCCGAGCTGTTCTCGCAAATACCAAACATATCCTGGCCCAGCAGATCTGCCGTGTTGGCCAGAACAGCGGGAGCAGCATGGCCATTGTGCGTGATTGTGTTGGTTGGCTGGCCCATTGCATTACCAAAGGCCGTGTTGAATGACGGAAAACTGTGCTGATTATTGTTATTGTGGCTATAGTTTACATTATTGTTGTTGTTGAAGTGCACACTATTGTTATTATGATTGCTACTGTTGTTATTGTTATTCTGATGGGGCAAATCACCACCGGCCGCTGCCAATTGGGCCACAATTTGGCTAATCTCCTCGGCCTTTATATTGGCATTGTCCAAAGAAAGTAGGCCTGGGCCCAGGTGTGCTTGCTGCGGTTGATCGGCCTCGAATTTGAACAGGGAATCCACCTCCAACTTGGGCACCAAGAGCGTTTCCTGCTGCTGCTGCTGCTTGGGCTGAAAATCTCCGCTGAGTGGAGCCAGCGCTGGAGGAATGGATAGCTGGGGTAAGTTCTGTGCTGCAGGAACCGCAGCCGACAAATTTGCGGGCGTATAGGGCGGCTGGGAGTGCGAGGTGGCCGACGAGTGCGAGTTGCTGGCAATGGACTCCAGCGAGGTGGTGCTGCTTTTGCGCTGCATACCCGCTGATGGAACCAGCGGCAGTGTGTTTATCTGCCGGCTGATCTGGATAACCGTTGGTTCGTTCGCCGGCTTTCTGCCACGTTTCTGCGGACGAGCCACGGGATTGGCGTTAGCCTTGCGCTTACGCTGCTGCTTCACAGGCACACAGAGCGTGGCCAGACTGGCGACGGGTAAACTCATAGGCACCTGCTTCGGTGCTGGACGGGTTCCATCCATTCCGGAACGCAGGTGGCTGTGCACCTTGCAAAGGGCCAGCGTGTGCAGCACATCGAAGACAGGAGCCTGACAGGCAGTTCCATCCATTCGCCAGGCCACGCAGGGCTGGAAAAGCTGCTGGGTGCTGTTGTTCACGATGTGGCGCTCACAGTGCGCCGCCATGCTCAACGTGGGCTGCTTGCAGCTGGCCACCAGGCAGCGGTTGCCAATTCCACTGCAAAAGACAAAGAACGTCAATTAGACCGAATGAGGCAAAGCTATATTACACTTACATTCCCTGCTGTTGACCGGCGTGATCCTGGTACTTAATCAGCATGTTCTGGACGCACTGCAACCTCTGTTTGGCCGCTCGCATGGGTAGCTCCTGCAGCGACCTTGTGGACAGCAGTTGCAGCGCCTGACGCCTCAGGACTCCCTTACGGACTGCAATACGCTCCTCACGCCGGTTGCTCTGCGACAGCGGTGAGTCGTGGGAATGATCCTTGGATCCAAAGTGCAGCCAGTGCTGTTGCAGGCAATAGGGCGAGTCAGACGAAAAGGTTTCGTTCTCGCTCAGAGTTGCCGAGTCGCGTTTGGAGGCAGGCTTGCGGCGTCGCTGACGATGAGCCGAATCCGTGGACTTGGTTGCCGACGCCGCAATCGGCTCCTGGGGAGGCGGCATCGATGTTGGCTGCGGTTTCTTTGCTACGATCTGGCTGTTTCTATTGTTGTTAGTGTTAGTGGTGCCTTTTCTGCCGCCTTTCGAAGCAATCGGGGCTTGACGGTTGGCGGTGATTAAATTGGCCACTTTGGAAGACATTTGTTCAGTTTTCTTGGCTAATGCGGGTGCTGATGAGGTTGGGGTGGCTGGTACAGCTGTGGTTGCAACCTGCTGGGAGTTCGTTGAAGCAGGTGCTGCCGGAACCGAGAGCTTTGAGCTCGGGGGAGCAGGTGGGACCACCTTGGGGCTGAGAACTGCTGGTGGCATCACTTTGAAGCTGGGAGCTAAAGCTGGAACACAAGATGTGGGCATCTGCGGTTGCATTTGCGGTTGCATTTGCGCTAGCAAAGGCGGTGCGCTCATCTCCGGCGGAGAGGGCGGCGTAAGAGGAGTCACCAGCTTTACTCCTGCTGGTCGGGATTGCAGCGCTCCCTGTCCAGTTGCTCCTGTACCTCCTGCTCCGCCCGCCGCTGGAGGCTTTCGAAAGATAACATTGACGGGTATCTCGTTGAGATCGCTGTCCTCCACGCTGTTGCCGGTGGAATGTTTCTGTGGAGCAGCAATCTGTGGTGTCGGCGCGGGAACTGCAACTGTTCCCGTGTTAAAGACCATCAGTGGTGGCGGCTGGGTCTGATTATAGTTAGTTCCCTGCACCACAGGTTTGTTGGGCGACTCCCCGACATTGTTGTTGTTCTTTAACTGGCTGTTATTGTTGTTGTTTTGGCAGGACAGTGGCAAGGACTTCTTCTTCTTCAAGCACTCCACCTTCTGTAGGTGTTGCGCCAGTGTGGTATGATGGAATTTCGATGGCGGCAGGGGTAGTCCACCCTTGGGCGATACGGAGATCGGAGCCACCATGGCGGTCACTGCAGCTGTGGCTGGCGGCAGAGTGGGCGAAGGTAATGAGGCGGGCGATGTGGGCGGGCTGACCAACGCAATGGCAACGGATTGCTGCTGCTGCTGCTGTTGTTGTTGTTGTTGCTGCTGCTGCTGCTGCTGCTGTTGTTGCTGCTGCTGTAGCAGCTGTTGGTGCTGCTGCAATAGGAGCTGTTGCTGATGCTGCGGGAGATGTTGCAGGAGATGTTGCTGCTGGTGCTGGACATGTTTCTTCTGCGTTTGCTGCTGCTGCTGCGTCTGCGGTTGCTTTTGCCCGTTTTCGAGCAGCAGCGGCGTCTGCCACAGCGATGGAGTGTGGGCGTAGAGCGGAGGCGGTGCTGCCGGCGGCTGGCAGGACTCCGAGGTGGCTATCTTCTCCAGCTGCTGCTGCTGCGGCCGGACTACGCACACGTTGGTGGCCCGCTTCGGCGAGGCCTGCGACTGCGAATGCGACTGTGATTGCAGCGGCAATGGCAGCTGCAACTGCAACGCCGGCGACTGTCTCTGAGATTGCGTGACATGATGGAAATTCGTTGTGGTATTCGCCAAAGACGCCTGCGCCTTTGCTGCTGCTGTGGCATTCAGTTGCGCCACCAGACTCGCCTTCCTGCTGGCCGCAGCTGTTGCTGCCGTCTGCCTCTTGTTGCTGCCTCTATTGCTGTCGCTTAGGCGGGCTCTCGATTTCTGCAAAGGGTAAGCAAAACAACTGTTTAACAAGGGTTTGAGTGGATGAGGCATTGTAGCATAAATGCAAAACAATAATAAAGATATAAAGCTTGGGGGGTTACTTTAAGAAGCCCGTTTGCTTTCAAGTTCAGGTTGTCAATTTAATAACAATTGTTCTGGCAATCTACATTCCAAAATTTGTTTGCCAAATGATTAGCATAGGTTTGACATTTATTAAAATTATTGTGAAAGGCTCATAATTAACAAGTTTTTAAATAACTTGAAATGCTTTATGAATATTAGGTAGCTAAAACAAAGACCCTTTTTGGTTGTAGTAATACAATAATACGTTGTATTGTTGTCATTGAATTTCTCATTTAATATTCCCAAAATTAGTACACCTAATTATCTGGATCTGGGATCCCTATTAGGATTTTTCAGATGGCAATAACACTATTGTATTTTTCTACTTTCTTGTTGAAAGATCTGACATTCATACAATGACTTGATTTATGAATCTGGATTTATATCTGGAGTTTTAGATGGTGATTCCTACCTGTGCATTGAATAAAATGGGCGGAGTGACGGCCACAGTCTCTGTGAAGGCATAGGGATCCGAGTCCTCGGACGTCGTCTTGCCGGCGATGCTCTCCACTGGCGTCAGCGTTGCTGCTGCTGTTGCTGCGGTTATCGCTGTTGCGGCTGTTGCTGTTGCGGCTGCAGTAGCTGTTGCAGTTGCTGCTGCACTGGCTGCTGCTGCGGCGGCGGCGGCTGCTGCTGTGGCTATCCTCCGGGTGGCTGTGCTCTTGGCTAATGTGGCTGTGGCGGTGGCTGAATGGAATCTGGAGGCTTGCTGACATGACATGTCCAATGTGAAGCCGTGCCGTTGCCGCTTTTGTTTCCTTTTCTTCCTCGGCTCTTCTCTTTCGGCTGCCTTTGTTGCTCTTTTGTTGTTGTTGTTGTGCTATCTCTGGTTACTTGACCTGCAATTTTAAAGTGCAAAATCAATAAGCTCAAAGTTCAAAGGGAGACGTCATAAATGGGCGTTGTCACGTGCTCTCTACCAAAATGCAATTGCAACACACACATTCTCACTCTCTCTCTCCCTCTCCCTGTCACACTCACGCACACATGCAGCCGTGGCAAACGAATGCCATAATAAAAACAAACTACAATCAAAATAAATAAATCCGCTCGCCGAAACCAGTTCAAGTGAATCGTTCGTTGCTTTCTTTCCGCTTCGCTTCTGCCCCCCTTTCTTCGTCTCTTTCGCCTCTTTCTCCTCCTCTCCCCTTCCTCTTCCCCGCTCCCCTCTTTTCTTTTCTGCTTTGGGTGCCGCTTGGCACCGCCGCCGTTAATAACAAATACAAACGTTGATAGCGCAGCAAAATCGCAATAATTAAAAATAATAAACCCAGACAAACAATCGCCCGAAAACACTTGCGGTCAGAAATCTGTATAAGACTTTGCTTTCAAGGTCTGACAATAATTTTTTATACAATAAATAGTTGTTAATTAACAACAACACTATATTAACTCAGTTATTTTTATGGCTCTATAATACAATACTTTTAATATATACAGGGTATTCCCAATGTTCTTTAATGTTGGTCAGCTGTTTATCAACTGTTAATTATAAGTTTAGATAAACTTTAAACACAAATTCAATAATATTTTATAATTTTCCTAAAAATAAAAAAAAAATTCATTGAGGAAATGACTAATTTGTAGATTTCGTAGCTAGTATCTTGACCACAACTGTTGGCTGACCAGCGCAGCGAAAAAAATCCCACAAATTTGCATGCTAAGCAAATCAAAGAAGCACGTTTGTGTGCACAAATATATGGAAGACGATACAAAAACAACTGCGCAGGAATACTATAGACCAAAGTCTTATTGAACTTAGCGAAACAGCAATTATTGGGGCAGAGAAAGAAAACAGAGGCGGTGAAAGAAAAACGGGAGAGCAAGAGAAGAAAGATAAGCGCAAATCGAGGGCGAATTGCTGGACTTTCCAGTGAATCGGGGAAGAAATGTAGAGATACAAGAAGAATGATTCGGTAGAATTGTACACAACACCATACCATATCATACCATACCACACCATATAAGGAAATGTAATATGGGTGGGGGTAATATTTTACATTTCCGCTCAGTGTGCTCTTTGTTTTCATTCACTTTACAGCCTTTGATTAGTTTCGCACATATTGATTTACATTCCGGCTGGGAAGGCAAGTATTTTATGATTCTCGGGAAGAACAAGTTATCCAACTTATAGCTGCGAGTGGAATGCTTCTTTGTTTGTTTATGCTTTCTTTACGTGTTCCGAGAAAGAAGGAAATGACTTTGAAAGCATTTGCCAGTAGTTCCCGCTCCCTTCACCTCACTTCACCCCACACAAATCCAAATTCGAATCCGTATTCGAATAAGAAACCCCACTTCCACACCCATTGGCGCATTCAACACGACTCCTTTGCCGTACGTGTGAGTGCAGGAGTGTACGTGACACTTTTGTTTATGCTTCCTATTTTTACTTATTCATCCGACGAACTGTGGGGAGACATTGAAAGATATTTAAGGCTAAGGCCTAGCGAATACACCCCGTACATGTATACATACATACGTAAACCAAACAACTCCAGTCGGGGATGTCAAATAATACCCTATCGATATCTTATCTATGGGTACTTAGGAATTACGACTAGAAAAACAAAGTCTCAAAATGTGCTTGTGAAAACATCACGCGAGAACGGAACATCCGACTAGATTAAGAATTTAATCTGGTATGCTCAAGAATTCGCGAGAATATTTTTTATTTGGTTTTAAGCTTGTTAAAGAGGCAGGAAATTGTAAATACATGATTGATTAACTTACTAAACCAAAATATCTTTGTTGTGATATATGATTTCCAGTTCTATACTTCCATAATTAACTTTTATATTGATGTAATATTTTCATTAAGATACTCTACAAGACCTTCTTGGTCAATTTATCATATCGACATTTTCCACTCGGTATACCTCAATAACACCAAGTAAAGGTTTTTGATCTCAAAGCCCGCAGACGAATACGAAGTCCAAGATTTTAGCGTACAAACACAAAAGAGAGAGGAGAAGGAGGAAACCGCACAAAAGCAAACTGTCGATAATTGCAAATAATGACGATGCTGGGAATTTGTTATTGTTTGCTTTTGTTGTTCTTTCGAGCAATCCCCAAGCAAAAGCAAGTCGTTGCTTTTTGGCCATTTTAGGTCTTAAATGTTAACTCGTTTTTTTGGTCCAACTTGGAAACACGCTCGAATGATAAGAAACGGAGACAAGAGACGAGAAAACAAGAAAAGCCAAAGAACGCCGAGACAAAAGAAGTTAAAGCTGCAGATACAAGCCATCGAACCTGAACAAAAAATCCAAGACAAGCTGGTAGAAACCTTACAAATAGCCGCTGGATGCTAAAAAAAAACCGAGATCAGTGATCTTTAGATGTTTAATTCTTAGTGTCTAAACTTTATACTGAACGAAGAGCGGCTAGGAAGGGAAATAATAGATGTCAGAGTAATGGAACCATGAAACCAAATGTCTTTCAGAATTGAAATTACTGTTTATTGCAACGCCAATGGAAAAAAGTACAACATAGGATGACATTCCAATTAACCTAATTTTTGTATTTTAATGGCAAATAAATTTGAGTTTAAAGCGGAACTGAAACTAAGAGGGATTATGGATGGTATTTTAATGGAAGCATGGGAAATTCCTATTGATTTTCTATATATGAAACTGTTTTTAAACAAGCGTGTACTTTGGTGATGATGAAACCATGAAAAATGCGGAGCAAATCAACTTCAATTTGTTCGTAACCAACAAGTTAACAAGAGCCCCCTTACAAATTGCTCATGTGGTTCTAAAAAAAACTTATGGGGTAACATAAATTATTCATTAAATTACTACAACTCTGATTAATCTTATCCCAATTAGGGGCGTTGCGATCCCAATCAAAGTGAATATGTTAGCAAATGTTGGATCATCATCCAACTAAAAAATACAGCAGAACTTTAAAATCGACTAACTACTTTTTAACAAAGAACGATTCAAATAGTACCTGAATCATTTCCAATTTTAGATTCCTTAATTTAAAGACTTTAAATTAAGTGCCCCCAGGCTTACTGATAGAATACTTGATGTGAAAACGCATAAGCAATGGAATAATAGATCATGCTCATGGGTTTTCAAGGCGATTAGTCGTCTGCTGCTACTCAAACATTTATGGAAACTTTTGAGGCACCTTTCGGCAGAACTGCTAGACGCGAAGAAAACCCGCGAGGAAAACGCATGCCGTGGAACACGAAGGTTTCGGTTTCGGTTTTGTTAGCTCAAGAAACCGTGTGTGCTCAAAGGTCTGCTGGGTTTCAATGGTTTGGCCAGGTAGTAAGCGACCAGGTAAGCAGAAAGCCGGTCGAGAGGTTAATTACGAGAGCAAAGCGTTTCCAGGCGTTACGCTCACTGAGCTAGGGCAGCATGAAAAACAGCAGAACTGGAAAATACACAACTACCAGTTGAATAGTTGAAAAACTAGGCATGCATTTGCAACACAGTTTTAAATACCTGGCCCTAACACCCTTGTTTCTTTGTAGTTTTACAAATGTTTCTCAATATTTCAACAGGTAATGTAATGTAATTTGTAAGGGATGTTACAACATTGCTGATAACTGTTTATTATAATTTTACAAATGCTGTATAGATCTATTAAAGGTAAAAAAACTTAGGAACACAACACATAATAACAGTATTTATTATCTAAAAGAATAAGTATTATTCTTAAAAATCTTTTTCATTAAACTATCACGATTTACCAGTATACTTTTGATATAAAAATGATTTAGAATCAAATTGATAAGACAGTGATTATTCGTAATGTAAACAAGTAATGTTTAAAAATAACTATGATTGACTGGTGTTTTCAAGTGCGGAACACGTTGCGTTACTGCCCCGATAAGAGTGAGATACGATGCCCATATTTTCGGCGGGCTTTCATGCTATTTGCAGACTCATCGACATTGACGCACAACCGCAGAAATTGCATTTAAATGCACATTACATCGTCGGCGAGTGTGGGAAAGAGGCAGAAATACCGGGCCCGAACCCGTTTGCTGCTTCCTTCATAACCGGAAACTGAAGGCTAAATTGTGCAAAGCGAAAAAAATGAGCAAAAAGAAAAAAAAGAGGAAAAAACGTAATATAATGACGATCGGGTGGGGGAAACCAGAAGGGCGGGGCGGGGAGGCTGAACCACCGCAAAGGCAGCTGGAAATGGAGATTCAGATGGGGTGGTGAAACGGGGGCAGGGGTAGGGGGTTAAAGCCAAGAGCCAGACATGCGGTTCAGTTTATTCAGCCAGCCAGCGAAGCCAAACGAACTCCATACTCCATCTGCAGCTCCACTTGGCCACTTTTACATCGCACGTAGGCCCGTCCACTTCTGCCTCCAGAGCAATGCTACAGTGGGCACTGCCTAGAGAAAACTCTGGGGAAACCTTGGAAGTGCTGCCAAAAACGTTGTCATAAGTCGGAGACCATTTATCTTTCTTGTTTCTGGCCACAAACAAACTCCAAAAATCGTGACTCATAAGCAATTATTATTTGGGTTTCACATTCACACATCTTGTCTCACTTTTCTTTGCTTTTTTGCGGTTAAGAACCAGTAAACATTGATGGGTTTCGAAAAATGAATCACTAATTTATTCCAATAAATATTATAATCAGTATTTGCTAACGTAGTGTTATTTCTAATCAAAAATCAACAAAATCTTTAAGGTTTTATTTATTTATGAAGGATTTTTCTAATATCTTACACAATATCAATCTTAAACGAGTAATATAAGCTGTTTATACCGTATACACCACTTTTCCATTTTATAGATCCATTTAAAATGTCCATTTTCTTTTTATTAATATATTAATATCCATTATATTATTAAAGCTTTATCTCCAAAAGTAGTTTGCAAGATGATTATAAGCTTGTATAAAATCTTCCTTTGAGTAATCACAAACATTAATGGAATTACTATTATTTTATAACCGTGCCACAATTATCAGGCGAGTAAAATGAAAACGTTCACAAAATAAAATAACCAAGGTTTACGATCACTATTTGCTTTTTTAATTAAAGTGTATGAAATTTTCGGTTTTTGGCTTGCATTTTGTTGTTGATTTTGTTAGTGAGCGGCAGCTGTTGTTGGTATCAAAAAAAAAGCACACACATCTGTTCCGTTAAAGCCAAGTTAACGATTGTCTCGGTTTCTCACGGACTTTACTCAACACTCGTGAAGATTTTTGGCAATATAAACACACAATGACTGCCGAAGGGGGCAGTGGGGGCGGAGGGTCATCTTCACACACACATATGCACATATGTTGCCAATAAACAAATCCACAAAACTGAACAAAACAAATTACGGATTCCGTGTAAATGAACTTTGGTGGGGAGAGCGCGTTTTGAATTTCGTTAAGCGTTTTGTTTGTCATTCGCTTATGCGGTTTGTGGGTGTGTTTGTGTTTTTCAGCGGAGGGGAGGGCACTCGAGAATCGCTGTTGCCGGCGTTTTTATGATTTCCCCGCCCCGTATCCCCTTCCGTTTTTTCATCATCTCTTCTTTCCAGTCAGTCGCCCTCGCCCTTTTTTCTGGTTCCCTTTTAGTGGCTCTTTCGCTTCCTTCCCCCACATGCCCCCTATCCACCAGCCCCACCAAACACACACACACACAAACACTTGCGTTTAGAGTTGCACATGCAGGGTCGTTTGAATTTTAATTGCGATTTGATTCCTGGCCATATCATCATTTGGGGCTTTAACAGCTTTGTGGCTGATTTTCTTTGGTTTCTTTGCTTTGGCGATTTTTGATGCAAAACAAGAATGCGTCACGGCTCACACACACACACTGGGGCACAGAGACACACTCACACACTCGCATACAGTGGGGCCGAAACCGAGAGCGACGAGACGAGAGCGAGAAAATTTACCCAACCGTCTGATGACGATTCAAACGTCAAAGTGGCGCCGCGCAACGTACTTGGTTTTTGTTGTTTGAGTACCCTTCCCATGGACAGGGTTGTCATCGCACTATGAACTGATAAGCTGGCCAAAATAAGCTGACTATTGGCATGGAAAAAATACACAGCCCTCTGAAATAATTAAAAACACTTTACCGCACCCATTTAAAGCCAACTCATCTGAAAGAACTTCAAAATAAGCTCTCTTAAGCACTTTTGGGCGGTCACCTCGGCAACCCTGGCCCGCCTCTCACACACACACACAATTACGCCAGCACAGACCTGGGAATTTTTTGCTGCAGAAAATTTTTCTTCGCACCAACAATTCCACTTTCAAATGCAATTTTCACCCCTTTATCTTGGCGCTGCGTACTCAAGACGATATCCTGGCTGTGGGCAAATGTGTACTGCAGCACTTTCTGGTGTTTTAATTGGGCATTCAACGCGTTTAACGATTAAATTTGTAATTTTTCGATGCAGTCGGGCTGAGAGAACACGGGCTGACAAGATGGCGGACAGCTCTGTGCACTCTCCGCACTAACACAGGCGCGCGCACAGACACACACACGGCCAGTCGGAACCAGTACCTGGGTGTGTTTGTGCACGGCGTTGCCGGACCGGTGGGAGGGCGTAGAGTGTACCGCGCAGTGGGAATGTACCTACATTAACGGATATTTGAAATTGGCTTTGGTGATAAGAATAAAAAAGTTGAAAATAGAAAATATACCGAAATACTCTTTGGCGCTTAAATAGTTGTAAAGGTATTTAAATATATAGAGTAACACAACCAGAATCGATCATGTGTCTAACTTTTTAACGCAGGGTATCAACATATTTTAGATTGTTACCATTTTTTATTTCAGTTATTCCAAGCTAAAATGTCCTTTAGGCTATTGAATTCCATAAATAATACTGATTACCATGATATAATACTTTCAACGTAAAAAAAAGTGAAATTTAGTAAAAATTTACAATATATATGAAAATGTAGGATATAATCCTTTATATAAATTTTAGGTCCTCTTTTTAAAGTGCTGATAAACTATGTGAAATTTTTATAAAATCAGAAATAGCCCTAATTTGAAGAGATACTTTACTTCTAATATAAATTAAGTAATACAAAATTTGTATTACAAATTATATAGAATTCATATGCCTAAGTGCAGGGGCTTAAAAAGCGTTGCACAACTACGATTATGTTATCGCGCGAAAGCGACTCTCTGGTAATTCACAGGCAGAGGCGCTTCGCAGGCCGAACTTAGTGTTAAGCTCAGTCGCAATCGCAGTCTCATTCGTTCTGTTCCCCCAAGCTGTATACTTTATACTTTATACTGTATCGTATCTGATCGATCCGGTCCGGCATGGGAAGTTTTCCAGCTCTACTTGTTGTTGTCGGCTCGCTGGCATTGGGCGCGAATGGTGAGTGTGTACGGAATACGCAACGATCGTAAACAAGTCTGGCAGTGAACTTAATCTTCCAGCTCAACTCCCCATCAATTGTGTATCAAAAATCCCTAGTGGCCGGGTCACCGGTCACTGCATCTCGATCCGTGACTGTGACTACTTTATGAAGATCCTCGTCTCCGCCAATCTCTCCCAGAGCGATCGCACTCTTCTCCGCGAGAATCAGTGCGGGCAGCGGGCCAACGGCGTCCAGGTGGGTGATTCACCGGAGAGATTCCCGATTAAACTCAAACTTCCACAACTCGATCCATTAAGCGCGGCGAAAAAAGCTCGATTTATATAGGCCTGTTCTCGTTTTCACTTTCACTGGTTCAGCCCACTTTTCGGATTTAAAAAAACGATCGAGGGGACAAAAGAAGCTCTGTGTTCTTATCATTACAGATAAGAAATTGTTAATGGGATTGAAGAATCTTTATAAAAGTACAAAAATAGTGGAATGTTTTTTTTAATAAGTGGTTTGGAAAGCGGTACGGCAACTTTCCCTTTGAAAACCTTGATTATAAGGGCCTTTTTGTTTATTTTTCTCTGTTTGTTTCATTAAACAATGGAGTTATTATTATTATTATTATTTCAAGGTAGTTCCCATAATTATTTCTTTCCAATTAAAGTTTAAATAACGAACAATGTAAACTTACTTATTAATTAGGAAAACTTTTTTCGGGATTATTAAAATTCCTAATTTTAACTTCATCACTTGGACAAATGGTTAGTTATTATTGCATTATCCCAGTTAACTTATAATATGAACTATTGTAAGTCTAAGATTTAACTACAAAACATGGATAGAGTTGGATAGTTTTGTAAGAATTGTATTTTAAAACTTAGTTCTTTCAAACATATGGGTTTTTTAAAAGAAAATTCATTACCAGTCATTTAAATTTGTTTCATTGTAACTTGAAGTAAAGAAGTTTTAAAAATCCATCTTCCTAGTCTCAGTTCCTATTAATCTTATTGTAACTCTTAGGTCTGTTGCCCCAGTACCGCCGGTTTGGGAGCCCTGAGCCACCCACTATTGCCCACGGATTGCGGAATGGTTCGTTGGCAGCGTTCAAATGATACGGATACGCGGATCAAGGAGTTTCCCTGGCTGGCCCTTATCGAGTATACCCGGGGTGAGTTGCTGTTGGGATTTTTCTTGGGTAATATGATATGTAGTTATTTAATTTCCTGCTCCAGGCAACCAGGAGAAGATCCACGCCTGCGGGGGAGTGCTTATCAGCAATCGCTATGTGCTGACTGCTGCCCACTGTGTAACCCAAGCGGCGGCCAGCAATCTGCAGATTACGGCGGTTCGCCTGGGAGAATGGGACACCAGCACGAATCCAGACTGCCAGTTCCATCAGGACACCCAGGTGGCGGATTGTGCTCCAACGTACCAGGATATCGGCATCGAGGAGCTGCTGCCCCATCCCCGGTACACGAGAACCGACAAGACTCAAGTCAATGACATTGCCCTCGTTCGCTTGGCCAATCCTGCCCAGTTCAACGACTTTGTGAGTCCCATTTGCCTGCCCAACAAGCAGTTGCGAGCGGATGAACTGGAGGGCCTGGTCACCGAGGTGGCGGGATGGCAGGCCACTTCCTCGCCCAGGTTGCGGAAGAGCTCTGTAACCATCACCTCCATCGAGGAGTGCCAGAAGAAGTACGCCGGCCACCAGTTGAATATCCAGGCCTCCCAGCTCTGTGGGCTGACCAGTTCCAAGGAGTGCCACGGCAACTCCGGAGGACCTTTGATGCTCTTCAAGAACGAGGGCTATCTGTTGGGCGGACTGGTGTCCTTCGGACCTGTGCCCTGTCCAAATCCCAACTGGCCGGATGTCTACACGCGGGTGGCCTCCTACATCGATTGGATTCACGACAGTCTGAGGGCGTAGAAGGGATCTTTGCGGTCACAACGAATGTCAGTAAATGTTTGGTGCCAAATTAAATCTGTTAAATAAAATAAATATACAAAATAAATACAAAAGTGTTTAAAACTAAAAATTACATTACAATAAACCATAAAAAAGTTTGCGCAACCTTTAGGTTTGATAACAATATGTATTCTTCCTACATTTCAGTTTCGTTTTCAAGGGACTTCAAATATTATTTTTGAATTTAGCGCCACGTATTTTGAATGTGGCAGCAAATGGGGGATTTTATTAGCGTGAGCGGAGAACTTCCTGCGTGTTTCAGGTTGCAGGACCTGGTCACATTGCAAAAGAGAATAAAAAAACAGAATAATTTTTGCAAGCTTACAAACTCGCAAAAAAAATCTAATTTTCGCCAAAAGTGTTAATAAAGTGCTGATTAAGTTGGAAACATGGCAGAAGCTGTAAAAAAAGGTAAAATCTTCAGTGGCTTGATGAAGGCAGGCCACAATCGACTGTCTTATTAAATTGTTTTTTCTTCATACCACTGCGTTTGGCAGAGTTGCATTTCGAGTTTTTTGGCGGTTTTAATTTGAATCTGGCTGTCTCCTGTTTTTTTTGCAGAGAGTAATGCACAGCAGCGACCTTTGGATGGCGGCGGAGGAGGAGGAGGAGGGGGTGGTAGCGGGGGAGGAGGTGGCAACGGCGGTGGAGGAGCAAGGATGCCCAAAAGAAAGCATCGCCGGGGTAAAAAGTCCAAGATGCTACCCAAGAAGACCAAGAACCACTATCCACAGTGGAAACTAGATATGCCAGCTGGTGCGGGAGCCACGCTCGAGGGGAATACCCGCCAGAATAGCCGCACCAAGCTGGTGCGCTCCCGATCCCTGCTCGTCCCGTACAACACCAACCGCTTCCTCATGGAGGAGCACATGTCCGAGCTGCACAAAGACGACTCCGACGACAATTGCTTTGGCTCACAGACCGAGGACCAGGTGCTCTTCCTCTCCAAGGAGTTCTCCAATGTGTACGAGCGGGCGAGACTCGAACGCCTGGAGACCATGAGCAAGCAGGAGCTCATCCAGGAGTGCCTGCAGATCGAGGATCGCTACTCGAAGGCCCAGAACGTATCCAAGGAGTTTGGCGCCAAAATACGCGCGCAGGAGGAGAAGATGCGCCAGCTGACGAGGGAGAATCAATGTGAGAGATGCCATAAATCCCCTCAAGAATATATGTATAAATTTCAACTTTAATTTCTAGTTCTTCGCTCCCACTTCCTGCGTTCGTGCTCCACTTCAGCGGGACCGGCAGCAGCCGCAGCCGCTGCAGCTTCGCCGCCCTCTGCGGTGGCGCCCACGCCCAGCTCCGCCTGCGAGCTGCAGGCTAGACAACAGCCGCCCCAGCAGCCCCAACCCACACCCATGGACTCCTCCAGCGAGGACAGCGAGAGCGACAGCAGCAGCACCACGTCGAGCACCACTTCCAGCACATCCTCGAGCAGCAGCGATGCCCATGAGATGGGCGTGGCCGGCCTGAACATTGCCAACGGGCATGCCGAACGGCACGAGCGGAGCAGAACCCGTTCCAGATCCCGGTCGCCAATTCATCTCAACGGCCATGCTAACGACGAGGAGCGCCAGCGTCTGCTGGACGGCAACCAAATGGACGAGGACGACAACTCCACTGATGTCCCCAAGTCAGGCGATGCAGTGGTCAAATAGGATCGTGTGCGTCACATCGACTTGTGTAAATAGAAGACTCAATTGTGGTAGAATGTGGCGACATGCGGACGGAAACCTTGTTTAGTTCTTAAGTCATCTGTGGGCGACCCAATCGCGTGGATTTCATTTCAATCATCAGTTCATCATTCAGTGAAAGCATTAGCATTATTTTATCAACTGCAAGCAATGCCTCCCAATGGTAATTTATTTGGTATGCCTGGTGTACAATACTTTGAGATGTTGCCTCGACGCGTTGATTTTAATGGAATTTTGTATAATGAAAACTCGATTTGTAGGTAAATAAAAAGTTAAATCGTGAATTCGAAGAGGTTTTGCGTGTTCATTTTCTCTTGGCGGGATGCCTATTTATTGAACTTGGTTTCTAAAAGTGTCCTAAGGACGTCTTTATAAATTTACTTTTTCCATAATCATATTTCAGTTCCAACAGATAAATTGTATTTTTAAAAACTATTCATAAATTAAGCTAAAAGACTTTTCCTAGT